CCCAGAGCTGATGTCCAGGGAGGGGCAGATAGTCCCAGACAGACCAGCAGTGCTGCACTGAGCAGCAGTCTGTCCTCAGACAGGGGAGAGGGTCCCGTGGGGGGCGGAGACCTGTGTGTAGGTCACGGGCTCTTGCATGCTGTTGGTGTGTTCCATCCCGAGGTGGTGCTGGCTGGCCGAGGGGCTGAGGAGGCTGGAGTGGGGCCAGGGAAGCGGAAAGGATGGCACGCCAGGCCGAGGCTCCTCTGCCCTCCGGAGCAGGTCCTGACACTGGGAATGCGCTCAGTGGGGCCAGTGGTGGGCAGGGAGACCGAGTGCTGGAGGTCTAGACCCACACGGGCAGGGTGAGGAGCAATCGCCTGGCTCTGAGCATGCACGGTTCGAGAAAACGCCCCCCTTCCCGGTGTGACCACGACAACAGGCTGCCAACCTGACCCCAGTGACCAGTGGTCCCTGGGATAGCCCCGCACAGGAGCTCTCAGCTCCGCTCTGCAGATGAGGAACTGAGGCTCAGAGAGGGCCACAGGGTAGGAGAGGACTGAGCCAGGCTGGCCCCAAGGAAGCCTGTACTCTGCCCACTGCACTGTCCTGAGTCCCGCGGGGCACAGGCGGGGCAGCCCTCTCCTGTGGTCAGGAGCATCTGTGCAGGGCCTCAGGCCTTGGGGTGCCCATGCCAGCTGCAGTGCGGGACAGTGGGCCCTTTCAGGCCAGGTGGGACAGGGCTGGCAAGGAGCCAGGACCCCGTGGGTGGACAGGGCCCTCCTGTCAGCACTCCGGAGCATTTTTTCTCCAGTGATTAGTGCTTGTCAGTGTCAGGATGAACTGAAGTGTGAATCCTGAAACGCCTCTACTGCTTGTGGTTTGAGGCAGGAGAATGGCTCAGGCAAGCGACACCACCAGCCTGCACTTCCCCTAGAGCAGGCCCACCCCTCACTATAGCCTGGACCTGACCCCCACAGGGACGCACTGGCCTGGAGCCCCTGCCCAGCCACCGTCCCTCCTGCCCACATGCTGCTGCCTCTTGGCCAGGCCTGAGCTCCTCCTGGGAGGCCTTGCCTCTCCAGGGTTCCAAAGGAGGGTGCTCTGCACCAGGCTTGGGGCTGCTGGCAGCCCTGGCTCTGTGGGGGTCCCAGTTCTGTTCCACATGCTGAGCCAGCCCTCTGCCCTTGGCCTTTGAGAGATGGTGCCCAGCTTGGGAACATTTCTGGAGGCAGCATGGGAGAGGGAGGCCCTGGGTACTGCGGAGCTGCTGGGGCTTCCAGGGGTGTGTGGGCCTGTGAGTCCTTTATGGGCCAGAGCTGGAGGGCCAGGGGTCTCAGTGTAGACAGCTCACCCCTGCCCCCAGTTTGGCCTTGACCCTTAGAAGCCCAGGCCACACTTGGACAGCTCTTTCCCTAGTTCCCTTTGCCCTCAGATGTGGGAATGGCTGTCCTGCCTCCCTCTCCTATGCTGGGAAGGCCTGAGAAACCCCTGGGGCCCTCCTAGACCCCAGCACACCACTGTCTTTTGGTGCCCCAGTGCTTGCCTTGAGTGCTTACCTGTGCCAGATGGTGGCTTAGCTTACAGAGCAGAGAGCCTGGGGCTTGGAGGGCCTTGGCTGCAGCCACACCGGACATCAGTTCTCGCTGAGGGCCAGATTAGCTGAAAGTCACAATTCTTCACTCTGACAGCCATGTCAGGGGTATGGCTGTGACCCTGGGCCCATCTGTCCATCTATTCATGTGTCTCCACATGTGACACTGTGGGCAGGGCTATGCTATTAACTTGAGATTTCAGAGAAGGTGGTAGGGTTCTATATTCTGTTTTCAAAGGATGAGGGAGCATTTGTTGGAAGGGATTTATTCCTAGGTGAAGATTTCACATACTGGGAAACGTGTGGCAGGTTCAGAGGCAAAGCTCAGGGCAGGAAGCAGGGGCCAAACCCCATGCACCAGGCCGGGGAACCAGCCTGGCTTCTGCTCCGGGGTGGAAATGGCTTGACGGAGCTGAGAAGGGCTGGCTAGGGATGTGAACACAGGTCTGGAGGTGGACCCAGAGGTCTGGTGGGTGTCGGCCGGGTGCAGCATCCAGTCTTATGCACGGGATGGTGGGCGAGGGAACATGGGCCCGCACAGGGCGAGAGCACCCAGGAGGCCAGCCCGGGTTTGCTGCGCCCAGCAGGACGCCCGCCGGGGCTTCCCACAGAGCTGACCTAGCTGCCCCGCAGGGCAGGCCCTGGTTGCCAAACCCATTATGAATGGAGGCCTGCGGTTGGTCCAGGGGAGGCTTTGTCAGTGGCTGTGTGTAGTAGCTTCCCATGGCTAGCACACGAATCGGGGTGTCAGCGGGGCTCTGCTGTCCAAGTTACCTGCTCCCTCTACCCGCCTGGATAGTGCCCAGTACTGAGCAGGCCCCAGAATCTTCACGGCCCTGCTCTGGAAGGCGGGTCACAGCCCCATGTAGGGAGGGCAGAGTGGGCCTCAGAGAGGGGAGGGGGCTCTTGGGGTAGGGGAGGCTGGGTAAGCTGGCTGTGGGCAGACCCAGGCCCTTTGGGAGGGGCTGATGAAAGCATATATATTTTTTTGGTATTATTAATGTACAGTTACATGAGCAACATTATGGTTACTAGACTCCCCCCATCACCAAGTCCCCCCCACGTACCCCATTACAGTCACTGTCCATCAGCATAGGCAAAGCGTCCTATTTTCAGATCTTGAGGTTTTCCCCAGTAGGGGTGCCAGCCACCCTTCCCTGTACTCAGGCCCTCCCTGAGCCCAGCAGGACCTTCTTAGCATCCTCAGTGCCCAAGCTACTCCAAAGGTGGCAGGTGGGCACCACTCTGGGCACAAGGGCCTCGGGTGCCTGCAAGAGAGCCAGGGCTGAGTTTCCCAGAGACGTAGCTGCGCTCCCCAGCCATCGGCCCAGCCAGTGCCCTCCTGCCTGACCTGCAGTGTTCCCGATGGTCAGTGCAGGCAAGGCCCTGAGGCCAGGCAGGCTCTGTGGCAGGCTGGAGCAGTAGCGCCGTGCTGGCCTTGACCTCGTCCCAGCGGGCTGAGGACCCTGGGAACCCAGAATGGAGGCTCTTCCTCCCTCTCTCGTCTTTTCAGGCTGCCCCTTGGCCCCTGTCTGGCCCCGCTGTCTTGCCCCCACCCAGCCTGGTAAGTGCCCTGTGCCTGGCATGGTGAGGTGGTCCCCAAGCTTAGCATTTTGAGGCACCAGACTAGGGGAAGGGGAAGGAGCTGCAGCTTGTGGGGAGTGGGGTGGAAGGCCAGAGTGCCCCATAGGGACACCCCAGCTGTGCATAGCCCCACAAGTCTTGCCGCTTGGGTGCTGGTGTGGGGTCATCTCCATGATAATTTCCAGCACAGCGTAAAAGATCATGGAGGTGTCATTACTGGAGGAAGGGCCTTGGGTGCCCTCTGAGTTCAGGAATACGAATGGTGGTGTTATCTGAGGCAGGGATGAAATGCTGCCACAGATCAGAGAGCATGCAACCAAACAGGCACAGAGTATAGGGGCCTGTGGAAGCCACATATAGCCTGGGACTCCCGACCTCGGCCACCCAGGGGGAGACCCCAGCTGGGAAACGGGCCCACAGGGCCTGACCCCTGCCTGCCTTGGGCAGCTGCAAAGGCGATGAGGCCCCACTCTGACCTTCCCCCTTGCCACCATCTGTCTGTCTGTTGTGACCAGCTTTCTGTTGAGGGCATGCCCTGCCCTTGGCCATTGGAGGGCACTGATGCTGGCGCAGGCTTGGGGAGTCCAGGGTGACTGCTCAGCCCGAGGGGAGCTCAGACACAAAAGCCCAAGCTCCCCACCCTCCGGGAGACAGCGGCTGTCTGTGACCCCACACTGGCCTCCAGGTGGCACGGGAGCCTTGGCAGAGTCTGGGGCCATGGACACAGTTGGGGATGGAGGTCCCCAGCCCCGAAGCTGCCCTCCTCCAGGGCCATGACACACGGTGTGTGGGATGGCTGGGTGCTGGCACAGCCAGTTGTGGGGGCCAGGCCCTAGGAAACCCGGCGAAAACCTTTGCAACTCCCCGAGACCCTGTCGTCTGTGGCCTCTGTCACCCCCAAATCCAGCCATGGGGGTGGCCCCAGAGTGCTCCTTCCTCCAGGAGCACTTCTTTGCTACCGTCCCTGGGAGAAGTATGATCTTGAGACCCAAGCTTGGAAGGAGAGTCAGGGAGCTTGTGGGTTCAGCACCAAAAGGCCTGGGCTCGAATCCTGCTCCCCAGCTTCCTGGCTGTGGATTTAGGCAGTCGAGGAAGCCCAGCCTGGTGGGGTTAGAGCAGGCCCAAGAGGGGCCACATTCTGAGGGGAACCTGGGGCAGAGGCCGGAAGTGAGAGGAGCATGTTTTGCCCCTCGGGTCACAGTGCTTTCTAGCAAGCCAGGTGTCACAGAGCCAGCAGAGGTGTGTAAGCCCAGCTCTGTCCCAGAGGCTATGCCTGGTGTGCGGTGGGGACAAAAGGCCTTGTGGAGATGGGGGAGGGTGCTCATTCCCTGGTGTCAAAGGGCAGAGAGGTGGCTGCCTTGGAACCCAAAGTGTTCCTTGCACAAGAAGCATGGCTCCTCTGTGTGGCCTCAGAGAGCAGAGCTGGGCAGCAGGGTCTGCACTGGGGGAAGGAGCATGCTGGGAAGGCAGCGGGCCCCCTGTGTAGGGTGTGAGCATCAGCGTCTTGCTTGAGATAGGGGTTGGGGAAGGGGCTTCGGGGCCAAGGAGGCTGGGCCTGACACGCCCTGGGCAGTGAGGGGCCTTGGTGGTTCGCTGGGGACAAGTCATGTATGTAGAGGTGGTCATAGGGCGCTAGCCGGGGCTTCTTCCTCGGGGGCACAGCTGGCCTCACCCTGGGCCTGGAAAGCCGCGGCGCTGACCAAAGTAGGAGGTGACTAAAACCCAGTAGGCTGAGATAGCACAGATGGTGTGCAGCTCTGGGCCTTGGCTGGGCCTCAGGACCTGGCAGGGTGGCAGGCAGGAAGTGCTGGCTACCTGGGGCTGCCCAGGAACCCAGCAACCGGAAGTCCTGGGCGGGGTGGAAGCCCTGGAGGCCCCAGGCCCCAGACACAGCAGGTGGCTGTCAGCAGGAAGGAGCTGGGAGCACAGGAACCAGCTGGCCAGCGCTGGGGCATCAGGTCCCACCTGCCTGGGGAATGCAGGCCCCGGTCCTGCCCGGTGGCCCCTGAGCCACATGGCCTCCCTGGGCTACAGGACACCTGCGCGCAGCCCACCACCAGGCAGGAGGAGAGCCATGTGCTGGGCGAGTGCCTTCAGGTCAGTGGGGTGGCCCCGGGCCTGGGGGCTTGGGAGGGGTACCGGTTCAGCGTCCAGAACTGCCCAGGGAGGACCTGCCAGGACACCCCACCCCCTCCCCCAGCCATGCACTGCTCAGCCTGCTGCTGGCAGGGACGTGGGGGCCCAGGTCAGGTGGGCCTTCCAAGGGTGGGGTCCCTTGGCACTTGGGTCCTGTGTGCCCACACAGTGTGTGTGCATGTGTACGTGTGTGTGCGTGTGTGTGTGTGTGTGTTGCGTGCACACGGTGAGGAGACGGAAGGAGCGGCGTGAGCTCCTGCTGCACCCGCCCCGGGGAGCACCCTGCCCGGGGGCCTCGCAGCTTTCCTCGTGAAGCCCAGGTCGGGCTGCCCTCTCTTGCGCGTGGCTGGTCACTGGCCTTCATGGGTGGGTTTTGGTTTTGATTCTCATACAGAGAAAGATTCTGGGAAGAGGGGAAACTGAAAGGGGAGAAGAGGCGCTCGCGGTCTTCATCCCACTGCTGCCACCTAGTGTCTGCTGTGTGCCAGGCGCGGGAGTGGCTGCTCGGTACGATTTCCCGGCTGTGTGACTTGGGGCAAGTTACTCAGCTTCCCAGACTCCTGGTGTCTTCATCAGTGACATGGGGATGACGCTGGTTCACACCGCAGGGGTGTTGGGGAGAGAACGTGGGGTGATTCCTGAGAAGCATAGAGCCTCTTGTCCTCAGTGGCCTGGGCTGTAAAATGGGGTTGAGGCACCAACCTGTGGGATTTTATTGCTGTCAGGGAGAATGGTGGGGGGGCTGGTGCCTGGGGTGGTGACAGAGCTTCTGATTGGTACCCAGGCTGTCTGTCCTGCACACTGGGGCCACCCCTGGGGGGTCTCTCTTTGGCCCATGCAGGCCATGTGTGTGGGAGTGAAAGTATGATCAATGTGTGTGTGCGCACATGTGAGGACAGCAGGCACTGTGGGAATGCATGCACGTGTGAGGGTGAGCGTGAGCGTGAACAGGTATGTATATATGTACGAGTGCATGCGCAAGTGTGAGAACGTGTGCATGTCTGTGGACAAGCCTGAGTGTGAGGCACACTGCACATGCGATGAGTGGTCACTGTGACCACGGTGGCCCGTCATCACCCTCACCTTCAGCCACTACTTCCTTCCCCTTTTCTGGCACTGGGCTCCTGGTCACATGCCAACCCAGCTCACCCACTGGTGCAGGGCAGGGCCAGTGGGGCTGGATGATGTTAGGACATCAGAATGGGCTTCCCCTTTGAAGGTCCGTCCTCTGGAGGGTGTGAAGGAGTGCCATGGGGGCTGGTGCAGTGAGGGCAGCCCCCACAGACGGGCCGGCCTGGTCAGCACCGACAGGGACCCCCTGACAGTGTGGTCACACGAGCCATCAGCTCCCTCACAACTAGGGCCGTGTGTGTAGGTGTCAGAGAGGAGCCCGGGCCGTGGGAGCCCAGCCCTCCAGCACTCCGCTCTGCCTCAGCACAGGCTCGCCCCACACACACACCCGCGTGTACACATATGCCCTCCTGCAGTTGAGCCGTGCAGCACGCAGTCAGCCCCTGAGCACAGTCGGTGATGGTGACCACATGCAGGGAGCCCAGCTCACACGCGCAGGTGATGACCACAGAGCCTCCCACAGCGACGTGAGCCCCAGAGCCTGTATGCCCCGAACTCAAGGAAGTCCGCCTCCGTGGCTCAGAGCGGTTGTCACCCACCTGCTGTGTCCCCACTCTGCCCCTGGGCCTCAGGTCTCCTAGACCAGTCTCAACTTTGAGAGGAGGTCAGGGGGCGAGCTCAGGAGCAGAGGCTGGAGAATCTTCCTGAGGCTCCTGCCTTCCCTAGTGTGTGCACACACACGCAGACCACAGGCCTTCTGGAAGAGCTCAAGGAGCCCACCCTGCTGCCAACCTGCATGTCCTTAGAGCTCTGCCCCGGGGGGCCTCTCCGGACTGCAGGGAATGGAGCTCCGCCCCACACGGCATGCCGCCAGCTCACTGGGGGCTTCAGTCCCCTCCTCTGTAGGGACAGCTGCCCCTGAGGGGACGGGCTCTCACTATGCTGCTGGGGTGTTGGGGCACTCTTGTGTCCCAAGGAGCAGACTCCTGTGCCTGCTTTAAGCTGGAGGAAGCAGACCTCCACAGAGGACTGGCCTGCCAGGATTCGAACCTCAGCTCCAGCAGACGGTGAGGGGTCCCCACTGTGGTGTCCGGCCCTGCACAGGAAGGGAGGGAGGCTTCCTGCTGATGAGCTGGCAGGAAGGCCTGTGGGGGCCCCTGGGAGGAGTTAGTGGACTTTGACCATCAGGTCGCTGACGGTAGCCATGGACATCGAGGGCGAGAGCCAGGGAGGCCAGGCGGCCAGAAGCATGGCTGCCTCTTGGGGGCTCCCTCAGCTTTCTTGGGTACCAGGGGCACTGGAGTCTGAGCTGGGATGAAAGTCCCCAAGAGCCGTGTGGTCACCGTGACCACTGTGGCTCGTCATCACCCTCACCTTCAGCCACTACTTCCTTCCCCTTTTCTGGCACTGGGCTCCTGGTCACATGCCAACTCAGCTCACCCACCGGTGCAGGGCAAGGCCAGGGGGGCTGTATGATGTTGGGGCATGAGAATGGGCTTCCCCTTTGATGGTCCGTCCTCTGGAGAGAGGATGTGGGTGTTGGCATCTGTCCCTGCAGCAAGAACATTCCTGGAGGGTGTGAAGGAGTGCCATGGGGGCTGGTGCAGTGAGAGCAGCCCCCACAGACGGGCCGGCCTGGTCAGCACTGACAGGGACCCCCTGACAGTGTGGTCACGCGAGCCATCGCGTGAGGTGAAGGTGGAGCACAACCTGGCCCTGTCATAACCCACCCTCCCCACCCAGGGTCAGTCAGTGGGCACCTAGGAGCCCTCACCCTGCCCGTAGAGGGATGGTGGCATGTGAGAGCGAGGACTTCACAGGCCTGTGCCTGTCTGACCACAAAACTAAGCCTGAGTGGTGTCGCGGGCCACCCCAACCTCACTCAGATGTGGGGCCAGGAGGAGCAGTGGGTTCCATCTGTGCTCCCAGCAGCTCTTCCTACCCCCAAAACACATCCCAGGTCTCCTTACAGTTTGGGGAGGGTGAGATACACCAGAGTAGGGGCTTTGTTTCAGCTTCCTGTGCCTTCCAGGCAACCACAGTCCCCACCACACACCAGGGTCAACATTCTATGCCTCCTGGGTGTGCCCTGGTGCCCCCCCGTGTGCTGGGCCTGACTGGGGAGGATGGGGGACAGCGACCATCTGAGATGGTCAGTGTGAGGTGGAGGGAAGGCTGTGGTAGCCCCACAGAGGGAACTAGGACCCACTACAGGTCAGGGAAGACTGCCTAAAAGAGGAGACATTTCAGCTCTTATTTCATTTTTGGTTGTATTTAGTTAGAAACACGACCAATTTTTGTATATTGATCTTGTTTCCTGCTACCCTCCTGAGCTCATTTATTAGTTCTAATATTTTTTTAGTGGATTCCTTGGAATTTTCTATGTACATAACCACTTAATCTGTGAATAGTTTTATTTCTTCCATGCCAATCTGAGTACTTTTTATTTCATTTTCTTGCCCAGTTGCACTGGCAAGAAGCTCTTAAACAATGTTGAATGAAGGTGGTGGGAGCAGACATCCTCACCTTGTCCCTGACCTGAGGGGGAGGCTTTCTTCTCTCACTGCAGCTCCTATTGGCTGTGGACTTTTCAGATGCCCTTTACCAGGTTGAGGAAGTTCCTTCCTTTTCCTAGTTTGTTGAATATTGTTCACATCATAAAGGATTGTGAGGTTTTGTATAATGCTTTTTCTGTGTCTACTGAGATGATTCTGTGGCTTTTGTCTTTACTGCATGGGTCTGATGTATTACATTAATTGAATTTTAAATGTTAAATGAATGGAGTATTCCTGGGATAAATCCCGCTTGGCACGGTGTAGAATCCTTTTTAGACGGTGTTGGATTCAGTTTGCTAGTATTTTGGTGAGGATCTTTACATCCACATTTGTAAGGGATACTGGCCTGTAGTTTTCTTGTGATGTGCTTGGTTTTGGTGTCAAGGTAATGATGCCTCATAGAAGGGTTCCTTCCTCTTCTGTTTTTGGAAGAGTTTGTGAAGCGTTGATGTTCATTTGAGCCAACTCTTGAAGGTGAAGTTGCAACTGTAGGCAATGGAAACAGTGGGGACAGAGGCCTGGAGGTGGATGAATTTTGGTAATGGCAGCCATGGAGTCAGGCTGACATGGACATGGAAGGTTCAGGGCAGGAGAACCCATGAGAAAGGTCCCTGGGGGCCTTGTCTGGAAGGGCCAGGTGGCCATGAGGAGGCCCTGGAGATCTAGGACAGACCAGTGATTGGGTGGTGGGTGTGTCAGAATATGCTGAGTGGACAGTGATGGAGGGAAGAACCTGGGGGGTCGGAGAGGTAGTGGTGGGAGGAGGTGGGGGCAGAATGCTTGGGAGGCCAGGCTGAGGTCTCCTGGGAGAGGAGCCACAGATGGTCAAGCGGGTAGGAGCTGCCAAGGGCCAGACCCCTGACTCCTGCAGGGAATCCGGGGTGGGGGCTCGTGATGTCAGACAGATGAAACTGCCCACTGAGGAGGGGGCAGAGGAGCCACAGACGCCCCTCCCCCCGAATCTGGAGTGCATGCCGGCCTGGTGGGGGACACTCAGCCGGTCAAGCCCACCACATCCCTCAGAGGCAGGGCGGCCGCACCCCCCTTTGCAGGGGTGCAGACTGAACCTCAGGGAGGAGAAGCCGCTTTCCCAAGGGCACCGGCTGGACTGGGACCGGGCGGGGTCCCCAGAGTCCCTCCCGGGCGGGCGGACGGTGCCTTGCGGCGCTCGCAGTGCTGGGGCTGGGGAGCGGGCTGCCTCGGGGCCCCGGGGGCCGCCCTTCCGCCGCCCGCTCCGCGCCCCCGCCCGCAGCAGACGGGGCGGCGGGCCCGCCGGGGCGGAGGGGCGGAGGGGCGGGGCCGGGCGCGGCGCGATGGCGGGTTCCCGGCCGCGGCCGCTGAGCTGGGGCTGGCGGGAGGCGGGCGCCGGGGCCGAGGCGGCGGCAGGAGGGCCCGGCCCGGGGCCGTGTCGGGGCGCGCGGGAGAGGCGGGCGCGGGCCGCCTCCGGGAAGCCGGCGGTGCCCGCCGCGCGGACGCCGTGAGTACCGAGCCCGGCCCCGCGCCGGCGCTTCCCGCGAGAACAAAGGCGGGCGTGGGCGGCCCCCGGTGGGCGGCGGGCGCGGGGCCCCCTTCCCTGTCCCCGCCGCGGGGGCCGGGCCCGGAGAGGTTGGCTTTGGGGGCCGATGGGGCCCGAGGGCAGCGGGAGTGACCCAGGCAGGGGCCGAGGAGCCCGTGACCAGCAGAGGACGGGCGCTGGTTTGCCAAGAGCAGAGTGGTTTTGTGTGTGTGTGTTTTGGGATGGCGCTGTAGTGCAGGGGTGCGAGTGGAACCGGGCGTCTGGGTCTGACCCTAGCTGCCCCACTAAGGGTTCGGCGGGACACCGGAGGCACCAGGCCTGGGGTGGGGGACTCCTGGGTGTGACAGGCGTTGAAGTGCCCACAGAAGAGGGGCCTCTATATCTGGGTTTAACGGGTGAGTAGGAGTTCTTGTGAGAAAAGGTATTGGTCATTCCAGGCAGAGGCCGGAAGTGTGAAACAGCCTGGCAGGTTTCAGGGAGAGCAGCTGAAGCATGAGTAAGAGGCCGGAGAAGGGCAGGGCCTGACGCTGGGGCCTGGAACAGAGGGTCCCGTCGGCTGGGGTTAACCCCGAGGCAGTCAGCTCACCTCTGGTGACTGCGCTGTGTCGTCCCTGCCAGTGATGCCCCAGGCTGACCCACCAGATGGTCACCATGACTGCTGCTGACGAGGGTGTGCTTCGTGCCAGGCTGGTCTGCTCTGCCCTCCTGTCCTACAGCCTCAGCGGCCGAGGACTCTTTCGGCTACCTGCTTTCCTGCCTCCTGGGTTGGAGGGCCTTAAGAAAGGGAGGGACGGAAGCTGGCTGCGAGCAGGCAGGAGTGGAGCACGGGGGCATCAGGAGGCCATGCCCCTCCATCCCTCCCTGCTGAGGGTCAAGGCTGGTTGAGAGGGTGCCCAGGGCCTGTCCTAGTCCCTGAACCTCTTTACCTCCTTTCCCAGTCACCCGCTCCAGGCCCTTTCTGACTTCCTCTCTAGGGCAGGCCCCGTTATAGGCTCACTTGGCACTTGGGCTCGGGGTGGTTATGGCCTTCGGCCTGACCTACCTGGGCCAGTGGTTTCCTGAGTTTGCTCACCCCTGTACCCCAGTCCCCATGTGGCCTTGAGCTCAGTTCACATGTGCTGAACGAACCAGTGAAGGAACTCACGTAACTCTCAGGGCAAGTGGGGGTCAGATGTATGGTTGAATGGACCAGGGGCTGGCCAAGTAGACCAGGGGGTGGGTCTTCCTGGGGTCCCACCTGGAAACTTGGGGCCTTCAGAAAAGCAAAGAAAAGCAAAGAAATCTTACCCCTTGCTGCCTGAACCTTCATGCTGTCTCCAGGTTCTGGCATGTCCCCACTGTGTGCCCCCAGCTAAGTCATCTTCCATCCCCGTCTCCTGGCTGAGAGGTGTCCCTTTCCCCTTTCATTGCAGCTTCATGGCGGCTGAGGAGATGCACTGGCCTGTCCCCATGAAGGCCATTGGTGCCCAGAACTTGCTAACCATGCCTGGGGGTGTGGCCAAAGCCGGCTACCTACACAAGAAGGGTGGCACCCAGCTGCAGCTGCTCAAATGTGAGTCCCCTGGGTGGTGCAGAACACAATGGGAGGACACGGGAACAGGGCTGAGCTCTGCCCCTGCTGCTGCACTGTTCTGCTGGGCCTCCCTGGGCAAGCAACCTCTCTGAGCCTCTGCCACGTGATGTGGTGTGGCCCTTTCCTCCCTGGTGGCTGTTACCCCCGGGACCTGAGGTCGGCTTCCCCAGCCCCCAGGGCTGTGGGACGGCCCTGGGGGTGCAGCCAGCCAGATGAGTGAGTACACAGTGCTTGTCAGCTGTCCAGGGAAGCTGAAGCCTGCGTGTAAGGGCTGGGGACCCCTGAGCGCCTGGTGGGTCTGGCCCCCAGGTGGCGCCCTCACCTTATCCAGTGGGTGTTAAGTGAGTTGGTCCCTCACTCCGTCTGCAGTGCGCCCGCATGCCAGGCCTGGCTGGGTGCTGGACCCCCAGAGCTGTGTGAAACTGGGCTCTGGTCCCAAGGATGGCAGGCTGGGAGAGGGAGGGAGCCGCCAGGCCTGGAAGATGCCCGTTTGTCAAGACACTGAAGGCCACAGAGCACCAGGGCCTTGCCCATCCCTCTGAGCAGCCCCAGGTACCCCATGCCCTTGCCCTAGCAGTGCCCTGTGCCAGGGGCTCCCTGGCCCTGTACTGCGTGGTGAAGTGGCCCAGGCTGGGCTCTTTGTTTCCCCTGTGGCGCCGAGTGGTCTGCTGTCCTCTTTGGGCAGGTCTGCAGGGGTGAACTGACTTGCCCGTGGCCTGGGAGGGGCTGCAGGGATATGGGCAGGAGAGTGTGGGGTCCTCAGCATGACTGCCCAGCCTGGGGGTTGGCCCACATTGGCGACTTCCGTCGGCAAGCTCTTTGGGTCTGTGCTCCCACTCTTACTCTGCCAGCCTGGGATGGAATCTCCCAGTAGTCCTGCAGCCGGACGGCCACACAGTCCCTATCCCTGGGGGCCCATGGTAGCTCTACACAGCCCCCCAAATCCATCTTTGCCGTGGGGGTGGTGCCTGGGGCTGCCCAGCATGCTCATGAATTTCTCTCTTTTTGGCCCCTTAGTGGACTCCTAGGGGGGGGGGCAGCTGCCAGCTTAGCTCTGTGCCTTCCCTGCAGTGGGGTTCCAAGGCAGAAGGACTGACCCCGAGTTGCCCAGGGCCTCTGGGGAGTCCGGGAGTACAGCTCACCCCTGCCCTCACTGCGCCTCCCACAGGGCCCCTGCGCTTTGTCATCGTCCACAAGCGGTGCGTCTACTACTTCAAGAGCAGCTCTTCCGCCTCCCCGCAAGGCGCCTTCTCGCTGAGCGGCTACAACCGGTGAGGGCCGCCTGCTCTCACATCCCAGGGCCCCCAGGCCAGCTGGTCCCCCTAGGGTGGCCCCTGTTCCCACCCAAGGGAAGTGCAGTCTCTTCTGGGAGGGCCCACTTCCCCACCCCCTGGACCTGCCCAGCCTCTGGGGCTCCCTCCCAGCCTCCGTGCTGCCTCTGGTCTGCCTGGGACCTGAGGGCGATCAGCAGGCCTCAAGGACTGGGACAGCCTGCTCTCCAGAGGCCCCTTTTGGCCACAACCCAGTGAATTCTGTGTCCCTCCTCCCTCCCCACCCTGCCCCCTTACCCTACGTGGCCTTCTTCCAAGAGGCAGAGAGCCTAGCCCAGCCTAGGCCCAGTCCCCGGCTTCCCTGGCTCCAGGAGCCTCCCGGTCTGGCCAGCTACCTGCTTTACACATGCCATGGCCTGGGTCTGTCCAGCAAGGGACCGTGAGCCTGCCCTCGTGAATGGGCAGGTGGGCATGAGACAGAGCCCCCACATGGAATGGCACGTGCCGGCACATGTGGACCTGTTACCCCCCTGGGTCTCCCCCAGGGTCTTGGGGACCTGCAGAGCAGGGACGAGGTGTGACCCCCGGGTTCTTGGTCTTGGCATCGCACTACCTGGGCCTTGCACCTTGCAGCTGGGCTGCGTCTCCTGCCTCCTTGGAAGGGCCAGGCCCCTCCTGCCTGTGAGGCTCTGAGGGTCCGTGTCTGTGGCAGGACTGGAACCCTTGGAGACTAGGCCTGGGCTTGCACTGCAGCAGCATTTCGTTGGGGAGCCTTGCCCAAGCACCCAGCCCAAAGCCAGGCCCCCAGGCACTGCCCAGGAGGGGAGAAGGCGGGAGGGCCCCGTGGCTGCTGGTAGGCACTGGTAGATCTGGGGTCCCCTGCGGAGGGGAGTTCCCTTCCCCAAATATACCACGTTTGGCCTCATCCCAGGGGATGGTCCAGGCCCACTGATGGGCCACACAGGCACACAGCTGCCCCCAGTGCTCAACCCAGGAAGGCCCCTGATGGCACACTTTGTGAAACCCCACATTCTGGATGGAGGAGTGGCCACAGTGAGTCACTTCTCTGCAGTGCTGTCGGGGCTGCTGCCAGGCCACAGCGGCAGGGTGGAGACTGCCACGGAGCCCTGTCCGGGCCCCCAGCATGCAGGCCAGGGGCCAGGCAGGGCCCGAGGTGGGAGCTGGCACCCCACCACACTGGCGCTGCTGGGCAGCGAGGCTGATGTGTCCTTGCTTGGAGCCCTACATGCGGCCGCCCCAGGAAGCCCTCCTGAACCTCAGCGCCCCGCCCGCTCACTGCCTGCCTTTGGCCCATGCGCCTCCCTGGGCCAGCACCTCTCTCAGCCTTCAGCCCAGAGCACCCGCGGGCTGTCATGCGGATCTGCTCGCGCCCCTCGGGCTGTAGTGGTCGGTGGCTAGACCGTCCGGGGGCGGGCTGTGCTGAGGCCACCCCGCAGGAGGGGCCAGGCTCTGACCCCCGGCCCACGCCCTCAGAGTGATGCGGGCGGCCGAGGAGACCACATCCAGCAATGTCTTCCCTTTCAAGATCGTCCACATCAGCAAGAAGCACCGGACGTGGCTCTTCTCGGCCTCCTCTGAGGATGAGCGCAAGGTGACCGGCAGGGGGGCCGGGAGAAAGGCCGCCCGGTGGGGGGACAGTGCAAGGTGGCTTGGGGCAGAGGGGCGAGCACAAGGTGACCCCAGGCGGGGGGCCAGTGCAAGGGGACCCGGTGCGGGGGGAGCAGGCCCGACCTGCCTGGTGGGTGGAGGGCTGGCAGCCCCCCATCCAGGCCCTGGGGGGATGTGCTGGGGTACAGGCAGGTGCTGCCCTCAGGGCCCTGTCCTCATGTCCAGACCTGGTACTGGTGCCACACACTCAGAGTATGATGTCTTAGGAGGAACCATGAATGGGCCAGGCGGTGGCCACTGGGGGTCATCTCCCCTGACCTCAGGGGTCACTGTGGACCAGCTGGGGCAGTGAGGGGACGTGAGGCGAGGCTGGGGCTCTACCCTGGGCAGCACCATGCCCACTGTGGCCCTGACTGACCCACAGAGCTGGATGGCCTTGCTGCGCAGGGAAATTGGCCTCTTCCATGACAAGAAGGAGCTGCCCCTGGATGGAAGGTGGGCCTAGTGGGTGACAGTTAGGCAAGGGGTCATTAGGCTGCTGGGCTTGATAGTTGTGCCACCTTTCAGCCCTGGGAGCTTGGCCCAGAATCCCCTCCTCACAGGTTTTTTGAAGGTGCCAGCCTGGCACACCCAGGTGTGTGTGTGCATGCGTGCACCTGTTGGTAGTTCCTGTTTAGGGGTCGTGTGCTTTTACCTGCCCACCCGGAGGCCCAGCATTTGCAACATGTTGTAGCTTTGAGTTCCCAGCCCCGTGATGCCCGCCTTGGCTCGTGCGGGGTGAGAGAGTCTGTCTGGCCCTTGGTGCCCTCACTGTGAGGTGGCCCAGCAGGCAGCAGGGGCTCTCTGGGAGGGAATAAAGACCATCCTGTCCTGAGGAATTGAGGCCCAGAGAAGGTCTCTGCCTAACCCCGGAGCTCCCGGCCTTCTGTCCCAGCCGATGTCCTCCAGCCGGCTGCCCAGCACTGCCTGAGGCCCCTGAGTTAGGGGCAGGTGGGGACGTGGGCCCAGCTCTGGAGCCTGGCACCATCTGGCTGGTCAGGGGACCATACTTGTGGCAAGAACCACAGGACATTACGGGCGGGAGGCACTACGGTCTCCAGCCCCCATGTGTCTGGTTCTGACCGTGCACGGGGCATGTTTGCATGTCTGTCTGCTCTTGCTTTGTGTTTGTGTGTCTGGGTCTGTGTGTGCGCATGTGTCTCTGTATGTGTCCTGGCATTTATCTGTGCACATGCCCGTGTCTGTGTGTCCTAGTGTTATCTGTGCGCCTGTCTATGTCTGTCTGAGTTGTGTCTGTGTATCTGAGTTTGTCCTCGCATCTCTCTGCACTTGTCTGCACGTCTCTGTGAGTCTGTCTGCATGCCCGAAGGTGTGCACATGCGTCCGTATGTGCGAGTGCAAAGGGACTGCTGCCCAGTGTTCTCTGCCCTCCCTCCATGCTCCAGTGACTACAGCTCTGATGCAGACAGCTTCTACGGTGCAGTCGAACGGCCTGTGGACATCAGCCTCTCTTCGTACCCAACAGACAGTGAAGGTGAGGAGGCCCGGCTGCACATCCTCTTCCCACACCTCCCCACAGCCTGGCTGCTGGCAGCAACAGGACCGGGTCCTCCTCCAGGACTGTCACTGAGGCGGGGAGTAGGCCCCTGCGTTCCCTGCTCCTTCTCTTTGTCTTGCCCAGGCAGCCTAGGTCCTGCGTTCATATCCTGACCTCCTCAACCTTGCCCCGGGCCTCCCCGACTCTCAGCTGCCGGTGTTCTGAGGGCCGTCACCCCACCCCATCCTGGGCGCGGCCAGATCTGGGCTGCTCAGGGCCTGACCCTCCATCTGCCTTGCAGACTATGAACATGACGATGAAGATGACTCGTACCTGGAGCCTGACTCCCCTGAGCCCTTGAAGCCTGAAGGTACGTGGGGCCGGCCTGTGGGTCCTGGGCAGCAGGGATCTGGGGACAGAGAGGGGGGTTTTGGACCCAGAGCCAAGCCTCTTGGCCCAGGTACTGCTCTGGTGGCCTCAGGCCTGACCAGCTCTGCTCGGGCCGGTTCCCCTGTGCGGCTCAGTATCAGGAGTACCTGTGGCTGGCTGTGCTCACCTGCCCCTCCAGCTCTGTAGGTAGATCGGGGCGGAGGGGGAGGCGATGTGGAGAAGAGTGAAGCAGAGAGCCCCCATCCTGGGGATGCTGGGCCGGGGTTGGGGGTGCTGAGATGGGGAAGGAGGGCGTTAAAGGAGTGGGCAGGTTCAGGCAGGGTCTGCGCCCTACGGCCGACAGCTCTCTGTGGAGCACTTCTGCCATCTCCCAAAGCAGCGGGCCTGGCGGGGGAGCCTGGTGGACACCAGGCGTCATGTGTGCATCACTGGGGAGCCCGGGCGTGGGGGAGGACCGTGCCTCTGTCCTGCTGTCCGTCCCTCACTTACTATCTCTTCAGCCCCTGCCCCCCACCCCCTCGGCTCCTCTCATTCTCTGTTTCATTATCTCTGGGCACTTGAGGCCGTCTCCACATCTCCTGGCCTCCCTCTCGAGTGCACCCAGATTTCCTCCCAGCTATTCCTTCTGGGGCCCAGCATGGGGCCCACGTGTCCCCTTCGTTGGCACGCTTCCCCCTCATCTGTCTGGCCTGTGACTCCAGCCATGGTGCAAGCCTCTCGGCCAGCCCTGTCTCTGAACTGCAGCTGAAGGGCTGGAGATGAGCATGCCTCTTGTCCGGGCTGTGAGCCTCTGCGCAGCGCTCCTGCGCCCGGCCCACTGCCCCCCCACCCTTCAGCATCCCCACTCCAGGCAGGCTTCCCACCCTTTCCCCAGAATGTTGTTTTTTGAGGGTTCCCAGTGGCCTCCCCACTCCCCAGTGCCGTGCTCAGCACCCGTGACTGTGCCTGGCCTGTCGCCTCCTCCCTGCCCCTCACCTGCCTCCTCCACCCGCCAGGTGCTTTGTGCTCCAGGTCCCCTCCCACCTCACTCTCAGCCCTGGGCCAGTCCCTGGGTGCCCAAACACATGACCCAGGGCCCCCCCAGTCCTCAGGCCCCACTTGTTCCTCTCCTGTCACCCTGGATCACAGCCAGTGTCATCAACAGGCTGTTAACCCTGTTGACATCATCAGCCAAGACCTTCCCTCTGGACTCTGGACCTTTGTCCCAATTCGATGTCCCCTTGTGTCTCTTGCTGCATCTTGAATTTGCCATGAGCAGACAACCCTTATCTTCCTCGCAGCCTGCTCCTGTCCGCTCTCCTCACCTCTGGTAGAGTGAATGCCAGCCTTCCCCAGCGGAGGCCAAACCCTAGTCCTTGCCTCCTCCCTCCCTCCCTCCCCCTTCTGGGAACTGGTGGCTCCTGACGTGACATCCAGGCTTCAGGAAGCAGTGCAGGCTGCTGGTGGAGGATGGATGGATGTGTGGGTGGGCCAGGACCGGCAGAGGAAGGCTGCATTGGGAACAGGGGCTTCAGGGTAGCCAGAGCCTCAGGGGGTACACACCCACTTGGCCCTGGCTATCTATTGCCAGCAGAGGTGTTTGTCCAGCGGCACTCAGCAGGTGGCACTTGCTAACCCACCTGGTTTCTTTCCTCTGTAGATGCCCTGACCTACCCACCGGCCTACCCGCCTCCTCCTGTGCCCACGTCCAGGAAGCCAGCCTTCACCGACATGCCCCGTGCCCACTCCTTTGCCTCCAAGGGCCCCAGCCCTCTCCTGCCACCCCCACCCCCTAAACGTGGCCTCCCTGATGCTGGCCTGGCCCCAGAGGACTCCAGGAGGGATCTGCTGGGCCTGAGGCTGGCTGAGCCCAGCCCCAGGGTGCCTGCTGCTTCCCGCAGGATGAGCGACCCCCCAGCTGGCAGTCTGCCCACCACGCCCAGCCTCCGAAAACCCCCTTACTTCCGTGAGAGCCCCAGCCCCAGCTCAGAGCCGCTAATCTCTGGCCACGGGACCAGCTCTGCCGGCACGGCCACTGCCGCCTCCAGGAACTGTGACAAGCTCAAGTCCATCCACCTGTCCCCCCGGGGGCGCACTCCTGAGCCCCCTCCTGTGCCAGCCATCAAGCCCAAGTTCCTGAATACAGCTGAAGAGGTTTTCCTGAGGGAGGCTGCAAGACCTGGACCCTTTGTGCCCCCGGTGGCTCCCAGGCCTCCTGCACTGAAGCTGTCTGGGCCCGAGGCCACAGCCCGGCCTGCAGTCCTGCCCAAGCCAGAGAAGCTGCTCCTCCCCCACCTCCAGTGAGTGGTGCTGACTTTCCGGCCCAGCCTGCCTAGGCTGAGCAGCTTCCCCTGCACTGGACCCAGGGGTGTGGGGGGTGTCTAACCTTGCCTCAAGGAACATCTGGCCAGCGAGTGGTGGGCCTGGGGCTGTCTTGGGGAGCAATGCGCAAGGAGTGGTTCTGGGGACACAGGCCTCCCAGAGTCCCTGCCTTGCAGTCTGAGGCCCTCCAGGGTCTGGGGAGGTAGGGCTGACCACTTGTCCTGGGACAGATGGTGGGGGACGGGAGCTGTTCACAGCCAGCATGCCTCTGCAGGGCCTCCTGACCCACAACAGTCCTTTCCAGCCCTGCCTGGGGCTCTGGGTGTGACCCTGGCTCAGAAGCCACCCAGGCCGCCTTTGTGCCCTTTCCGGTTGGGAGCTTGCCGGAATGTAGAGCATGTTGGTGACCCACCACTGTGGCCTGCTCCAAATGTTTCCTGCTTTACTTCTGGGTGGTACTGGGAGGCTGGCGTACCCCCACTCCCGTGGCGCTGTCCACACCGACGTCTGCGTCCCTGACCTAGTGTTCCCTGAGCAGCCTCGGTGTGGCACCCTTCCCCCTGGGACTTGGTCAGCACTGCTGCTAGTGGAAAGTGCCTGGGGGACCCTTTGCCATGCTGTGGTTTTGTTTCATGAGGGGCCGTAGTGGCACGGACTGGGCATTTTGCCAAGCCCTGGTTCTGGACCCCAGTGCTGCGGGGCCATGTGTGTTGGGGCTGGTCATCCATGGTGCAGCCTCATGCATAATCCAGCGGCCATCACAGCGTGGCCTCCCATGAGTCTCCCCAGTGGTCAGTAGGGTTTGGCCCCTCCACATCTGTCCGTGCTCTGCAGCTCTGGGAGGGCTGTAATTCAGCCAAGGTCACAGAGCTGGTCAGTGGCAGAGAGCTGGGGCCAGAATCCCCTGCCCGGGACATTCTCCTGCAGCATCTGCAGTACCATCCACAGCGTGGTGAGATCACGGCTCCCAGGACCCCTCTTGCCAGTGGCAGTGGCAGCTCAGAGCCCAGCTCAGACTTCTGGGCCTCATGCGATTCCTGCCTCCCCATGGTCAGCACGTGCTTATCTCAGAGCTCTGTGGTCGGGGGCCTATGACAGCCACCCAGGCTGTCACCCCCGATCCTGTCCTGTGGGTCCCAGTGCTGAGCTCGGCACAGTCACTCAGAGGGCACATGGGAGTGGCCTGTGGAAGTCTGACAATGAAGTGGCCTTCCTCTCCTTACTCCTCTCCCAGGCGGTCACCCCCCGACGGGCAGAGTTTCAGGAGCTTTTCCTTTGAGAAACCCCAGCAACCCTCACAGGCTGATACTGGTGGCGAGGACTCGGATGAGGACTACGAGAAGGCAAGCCTGACAGAGAGCCCGGATCTCAGCTGTGGGTGGAACTGTGGGAGAGCTGCAGGCCGGGGTAGCCCCTCATTGGCCGTCTCCAGTGGGGAGCCCCAGGATGCTGAGCTGAGGGGCGATGGGGCACGGTGCAAAGCCCCAGGTCTCGGCCTAGGCCCACAGCCAGGAGGGTGGGGGTGCCCTGCTTAGCCCTGACACCGAGCGCCACGTGCCTCCCCGCAGGTGCCTCTGCCCAGCTCCGTCTTCGTCAACACCACGGAATCCTGCGAAGTGGAAAGGTCAGCACACAGCCCTTCATATCCAAGGCCTTGTTTCTGCAGACATGGGGTCTCCTGCTGCTCTCCATCCCCACCCCTTGTTCCTGCTTTTCTGTCCCTGTCACTTGCCTTGGTGCCAGGCAGTTGCTGGCACACACACGGCCCCTAGTGTGCCAAGAAACCCAGCAAAACAGCAGCTCCCTGGCCCAGCCCGCTGCCAGCCATCACCCTGGGTATGGCCCGGAGCTCAGCAGAGGCTAGGTCTCAGGGCATCCTGTGTTGGAACCTGAGCTTCAGAACAGGGAGGGGGCCAAAAGCCCCTCTGGGGAGCAGGGCTGGGTGGTCCTTGGGAGCTGCCTGAGGCTCATTTGCTCACCTCCAGCTGTGGCTTTTCTAGGCTGTTCAAAGCCACAAGCCCCCAGGGAGAGTCCCAGGATGGACTCTACTGCATCCGCAACTCCTCCACCAAAACCGGGAAGGTAGGTGCTCAGGGTGGGTCTTCGGCAGCCCCTGGGCTGAGCAAAGGCCCCCTGGGGCAATGCCTTGTGGCAGATTCTGGCTCTCCACACATGGAGGCTGACAGCAAGCACGGGACTCTACAGTTTGTGGATCATTTCCCCAGCCAGCCTCTTATTTGATACCTCAGTGGAAATCCGCTCCTGGGTTCTTGGCCCGGCAGCCCCTCCCCTGTCCTCAGGAAGTAAACACCATCTACAAACTGGTGGCAGCGACAGCTACTCGCCAGCACAGGCCTGAGGCAGATGGGAGGCGCTGGGGCCCCAGAACGCTGATGGGGCGAGGGGCTCGTGCGCTTTGAAGGGGAGGCTGCCTGGGGCAGTGGGAGTGTGGGAGGTCTTCTGGCTCTAGCCTCTGCTCCCCCAGGGTGAGCTGTGTTTCACTGAGCCATCAGGGGGCCCTAGGGTGGGCTGGGCGCCTGCTGCTGCTGCTCAGGCCCTGTCAGAGGCTCTCGGGGCAGGAGCCTGCAACAGTGGCGCGTCTCTGCCCTGTGGTCTGTGTGCAGGCCAGCCCACCCTGAGTCACTGGTCCCGGGGCCCAGCCTCACTGCTTCTGTGTGCCCCCCCTTGGTCTCTGGCATCTGTCTCTCCCAAGGTCAGTGCCATTGTACCCGAACCTTCTGCTGCCCGCTGCTCTCCTTGTAGGTTCTAGTCGTGTGGGATGAAAGCTCCAACAAAGTGAGGAATTACCGCATCTTTGAGAAGGTGGGCAGGCTGGCCCCTGCCAGAGCACCCTGCGTGGGAGGGGGCCCCTGTCCTGGGGCTTGGCTGGGGGCAGGGCATGGGGCCAAGGCAGCGAGTGACTGAGTGACTGGCACCTCTGCCGCCCCTCCCCACTGCCTCAGCCTCACCTCTCCCCTCACCTAGCTGTGTCCTCAGCTGACCCTAGAGGGAACGGGGTGATCGACCCTGGGCCTGTTTATGCAGACCTTGCCTGCGTCCCCTAGGCAGGTTGGAAGTGAGAAGGGAGCTAGGTGGAGGCAGGCAGGGTGGTAACGCGGCAGGCCTGACTGTTGTCATTACTGCTGACCATCCCATTTTGCAGGGCTGGGCAGGGTGGCCCAGCCCGCCCTGACCCTGCCATCCTTTCCCCAGGACTCTAAATTCTACCTGGAGGGCGAGGTCCTGTTTGTGAGTGTGGGCAGCCTGGTGGAGCACTACCACACCCACGTGCTGCCCAGCCACCAGAGCCTGCTCCTGCAGCGCCCCTACGGCTACGCTGGACCCAGGTGACACCTGAATCACGTACTGCCGGGTAGAGGCGATCGTGGGGGCTGTGATCCCAGGCCATGCAGATGAGACTGGCCTGCATGGGAGAATGATCAGGAGAGAGTGCCATGCTCTGGCTTGGGGTATCCCCATCTCAGGCCAGTCCCCCCCCAGCAGGCTGGGTCTCCGGAGCCAGGCCAAGTCCCAAGCTTCAGAAGATTGGGCTCTCCTATCCAGCCCACCTCCCAGGAACCCAGGGTCCCAGGACTGAGCCCTGCCTGAGCTTCACAGACAGTGGTTCTGGTTCCACCATTACACCCACCTCCCACTGAGCTGGGAGCTGGGCAAGGCTGGGGCTTTTGGGGGTGGGTGGGGCAGGAGCCGGTCCCGGGGCCCCTCCCCAGCAGGAACGCTAAGGTGCTAGCTGTCACTGTTGCACACAATAAAGCACAGATGAGCTTTGCCTTTGTGGCTGTGGCTTTGCTGGGAAGAAGGGGTGACTGGCTTTGCTGAGTTCCTGCACCTACATCCGAGTAGTGATGGCAGCAGCTCACAGGAGCCCTGGGATGCGGCCACCCTGTCTCCCAGGGCTTGGGGCCATAAGTGGCTGGCCCTGGGTGCAAGCTAGTAACAGAAAAGGACCCAAACTTAGGCAGTGTGGGCTCAAAACCTGTTCTCCAAAGCACTATGGCCACTGCCCTGGGGCCGGTGCAGGCCAGTGGGTCCACAGAGCTCAACCAACCATATCCACAGCTGGTCACCCGCTGGATCAATGAATGGCTACTGGGAGACAGCTGGGCTGGAGGGGTTCGCAGTGCATGCTGCCTTGGGCAGGGGCTGGGCCCTGAGTGAGAGGGGATGGGGGTACCCAGGTGCTCAAGTCCTCTGGGTGATGCCAGCTCCAGCCCAGCCTTGATGGCCCCCTCATTTCCTGCCATAGGACGCCAGCACATTGCTGTCCCTGGCATGGCCATCCACACTGGATTTTCTTTGTGGGGGTCAGGGCTGGCAAGGGACCCCAGAGTCATCTGATCTTGACTGCGCCCTATATTGGGAGAGGATTTGCTGTGTAAACCCAGACTGAGGACCGCACTTGTGCCCACCAGCCAGTGATTACTGCACCTGGAGAAGGCCCTTGGACACACCTGGAGCATGTCCTGGGGTGGGGTGGTTTCTGGAGGGAAGAGAGAGGTGAGGTGGTTCAGGATGGGGGAGGCTGTGGCCCCAGGGCACTGTGGGGTACAGTGGGGTGTAGTGGGGACAGTGGCCAGCTACTTCCAGGAAGCAAGTGTCCAGCACGGTCTCTGCAGATGTTTCCTCTGCAGCCGGCCTGGGGCGAGGGGTCAGTGTGGGCACAGTCGAGTTTGGACAAGTTCTGGGTGAGCTTCTGGTGTTCTGCACCACCTCTGGAAAACCAGTAATTCCTGCTCCCTGCAGTCATGATTCTTTGCTCTCTCTGGCCTGACCTCACCTGGGAATCCAGTGAGACACACTATTCACCACTGTGGTGGCAGCTTCCCTTAGTGTAAAATTCTAAATGGGGGCTTGGGTTCAAGGAGCAGTTTCTAGCGAGTGCCTGGAGATCTGCTGACTGGTGATGCACCACCAGACGCTGTCCTTTTTAGACACTTTGGAGCCAGCTCAGTGGTTGAACCACATCTGAAGACCCCTGAGCTGGAAGGTCTGGGGGCTTTTGGGTCCAGAGCCAGGTGATAGGTCCTTCCGGCCACCTGGACAGATGAGGCCTGTGGCTGCCTGAGACCCACCACAGGGCCTGGGCCAGCCTCACCTCTCCTCCCTGGGCCTGGGCCAGCCTGGGCCAGCTGCCCACGTCTTTGTGAACTGCCCCTGGATCTGGGGCCTCAGCTGTAGGAGTCTGTGTGTTGGGGGTGGTATATGGTCCTCCAGCATGAATGGGGGCCAGAGGAGGCCCACTCTCTTCCGAGAACTACCGCGAATGTCCTATTCCTCATACAGGGTTACAGAATGGTCACCACTTACAAAGTACTTCTGTGGGGTTTGAGGTGCTGAGCCGGATAGTTCACATAGTTTGGAGAAGCAGCTGCTCTTAGTCCCATTTTACAGGTGAGGAAACTGAGGCTCATAGAGGCCTGGATTCAGGTTCTGCCTCTGTCACGTACTACCACGTGATCTGGCCCCTGCCTACCTTCCCTCTGCCCACAGGGTGTCCAGTTATCTGGCCTTCCTGAGGCCTGGTGTGCCCTCACCGAGCCAAGGGGGCTGCAGCTCTGCAGGGAACAAAACTGACCCTCAGTTCTGCTTGGCCCTCCAGGCCGCAGTCCGCGGGATGAGCCAGCAGGAGCCCAGGCTGTGCCCTGGGGCGATCTTACAGACAGGAGTTTAGGCTCAGAGAGGATCTGCTGACTTGCCCGGCATCTGGTGAGTTCAGAGATGGGGTCAGTTCCTGGACTTGGGAAAAGGGCCCCAGGCAGTTTGGGAAGCTTTTCCAAGCCGAGGACTGAACATGATTTTACTTTTCCTACAATTGATCAGAAAGACTGTGTTAGTAGAGATTTTTCACTGTAAAAGGAGATGTTTTTAGAACCAAAAGAGACCTCACAAACACATCTGGAATTGCTCTCAGTCCCAGTCGCCACCCCAACTCCGGGTCACGTTGTGTGGACACCCCCTGCTGGTCCAAGGGGGAGCTTCCTGCATGCTATGCTTGGTGGTGGCTTTGACGGCACCAGGGAAGAAAAGAAGGCTGCGGGCCTGTGGCCTTGGGGCTTCTTGCCCAGTGCCCACTGTGACTGCCTTGGAAGGCAGCCTAGGGGATACCAAGGCCACACAGGGAATATGGGGTGGAGCTGGTACTTGAACCAGATCCATGTGTCTCTACAGAAGTGGCATGGCAAGGGTAGCCTCTGACCCTGTGACCTACAGCACGGAGTCCCTCACTGGTCAGCTCCAACACACGCCTGGCTCCCTGTCTCTGTGCCTGCACATCCTGTCCCTCCTCCACCCAAAAAGCCTGCCTGATGGGGGGCCTCCAGGAGGGCCTCTTGTCCTGGGGCACAGTAACCCTTGAAAATAGTTGATAGCAGCCATCATCAAGCTACCTTCTGGCACTCTTTGACCAGAGGGAGGGTTCTACCACCCAGCAGACCCTGCTTAGCTCTTCAGCAACCTTAATGGCTGCCTGACAGCTGCCCCTGCATTGCTGTCTGGCTTCATCTCTGGCTATGCCCTGGGCTACTCAGAGCTGCTCCTTTTCCTTTCCTTTCCCATGGAATGACACACACGTTGGTAGCCTAACTCAGTGCTGAGAAGTGACCCTTCAGGAAGTAGCTTCCATTGCGGCCCCGGCCCCTCCCTCTCAACGGCAACCTCTGCCCTGACTTTGGTGAGGTTCACGTTTTGCTATAAAGCCTTTACGGCCCAGTCATGCATCCATCGCAGCAGTTTCCTGTTTTTGTATTTTGTATGAATGGAATCAAACAGATGCAAGCTTTAGCCCTGGCTTTTGCTCATCATTATCTTTGAAGTTTGTCCACATGCTATATCTATAGTCAAGTTCATTGCTGACAACTGTTCCATTGTATGGTTGTATCATAGTTCACAGATCTGTGTTATTGTAGATGGACATTTGGTTTATTTCCAGTTCGGGGCAATCACAGACAATGCTGCTAGCAACAGTCTTATCTGTGTTTCTGATGCATGTGCCCACAAATTTCTCTAGGATATGTACCCAGAGTCTGACTCCTGAAGTCTAGGGCATCAGACCTTTCACTGTTTTCCAAGAATTTTATTGTTCCAGTTGATGCTCCCACCAGCACTAAAGGAGAGTTCCCTTGGTTTCACATCCTTGTTAATAATGCTTGGTGTTGTCAGGTTGTCAGACTTTTTTTCATTTTTACCAACTTGGTAGGTGTATAATTATGGCTTTATGTACATTTAGCTAATTATTAATGAGGTTGATCACATTTTCTTATGTTTCTTAACCATTTTGTCTCCTGTAAAGTGTTCAAATCTTTTACCCACTTTTCTTTGTTGTCTTTTTCTTATGCTCTATAAGAATTCTTTATATTGTCTGATATTGTCAGTAATGTGAGCTGCAAATCTTTTCCGACTCTGTAGTTGTTTTTTTGCATATGACAGGAGGTAAGGATTCGTTTTCATTTTTTTCCCTATATGTTGGTTACCCACCTATCCCTGCATCATTTATTTATAATCTGTCCTTTCTCCACTCACCCGCAATGCCTGCCACCTGTGATACATGTATGTAGGTCTGTAGCCTGGGCTCTTTCTTCTGTTCCATTTGTCGGCCTATTCCTATGCTGATATCAAACTGTCTTAATTACTGTCACTTAAATATGTCTTGGTATCTGGTTAAATAAATCTTCACCTATTTTTCTTCTTTGGGAGTATCTTGGCTACTCTGATTCTTTGTATTACCGTATTAGTTTTTCTGTCACATAGGTTTTAAGGTAAGCTCAACAGTTCCATTGGCCAACTCAGCTGGTATTTTGATTGGGAATTCATTATAGATACAAATCGGCTTGGGGAAAAGTGACATCTTTACAATATTGAGTCCTCTGATTCATGAACATGGTTTACCTTTCATTTGGATCTTCTTTAAGGTTTGCCAATAGGACTTTATAATTTCGTGCATTTTGGGTCTTGCTCAGATTTTGTTAGGTTTGATTCTTAGGCACTTGTTTCTTATAGTCTATTATAAATTATATATGCTTTAAATTTCATTTTATGTTTATTGCTAGCATATAGGACATACCTTGTCTTCTGAGTGGAGCCCTTTGTCCATTTGTGTTCAATATAATTAAATTTGTCTTATTTTGTGTTTTGTATTGCCCCACCTGTTTTTCTCCTTTTTGTCCCTTCTTTTGGATTGAGCAACTTTTTTTTTTAACCATTCCACTGTCTCTATTCTAGTTTGAAAGTTATACAGTCTATTTCTATTCTTACCTAAGTCGAGTAATAAATATTTTTACCCTCCGGACAACACAAGGGCTTCAGATGACTTTAATTTCATTGATCTCCCTCATTTCTTAGTATTATTGTTGTACATATGTAATTCTGTGTTTTTGTTTTTAACTCTGACCCGCCGCAGTCTCCCCACCCCAGCCTTGGAAAAGGAGGGTGTATTTTAATAACATTAGAACTTTTTTGTTATGGTAAAATATACATAATATAAAATTTACTATTTTAAAAAGTTTAATTATACAGTTCTGTGGCATTCAGTGCATTCATATTGTTGTGAGCCATTTCCATTATTCACCCCATAACTCTTTGGTCCTATAAAACTGAAAACTCTATACCTACTCCCCATTTCCTCCTTCCCCAGCCCCTGAGCCACCATTCTACTTTGTCTCTACGAATTTGACTACTCTAGCTCCCTCATACAAGGGGTACATATAATAATTTGGCCTTTTGTTTCAATTAGCATAGTTATTAATTAGCATAATGATTTCAGTTAGCCTAATGTCTTCAAGGTTCATACATGTTGTAGTGTGTGTCAGAATTTCCCTCCTTGCTAAGGCTGAATAATATGCCATTGTACAGACGGCCTGCATTGTGCTCACCCACCCACCCATCCGACAATGGACAGGAGCTGCTGCTACCTTTCGGTGATCATTAATGCTGCTGTGAACATGGACGTGCAAATATCTGTTTAGAATCTCTTTTTATTTCTTCTGAGTATATACCAAAAAAAAAAGGCAGTGGTTGGATCAGCCTTGGTTTCCCAGTTGTCCATGCTGTTGGGCTGATGCCTAGCCTCCACCCTGCTACCATGGCAACGTCATTCATGATACCACTGTGCCAGCTCTGTGGTGGCAAGAGGACAGATCCTGGCTAATGCCTGTTGCCTAAGCCATTCTATTTGCTTGGTTGTTTACAGCCTCTGTGTTGGGTGCTTGCTGGAGGACGTTAACATGCAATACAAAAATCTTCACCCTTTGCGCCAATTCTCATAGGTCCATCCTCCTGCCTCTTCCTTAGACCTCTTTGTCCCCAAACTTCCAGATTGTTTCTTCTAGGCTCCTGACCAACCAGCTAGGCCATTTCCCACTATATACGAGTCCAGGCCACATCTATTTCCACTCAAAGGGAATGACCAAGTTCACCACCTGTAGCTATGCCTGCTGGGATGATTTTCCCACACCAGTGTCTTTCAGGGTGACCACTGAATGGGGATAACAGCAGGAGACCATTTCCACCCGTACATACATACTGAACCAGCCTTCCTATGAAGCGAGCTCATGCTTTGTCCTTTATCACTGTGTCATATGGAATCCGAGACCATAGATGAGAGCCAATAGATAGATCTTGGTGCTACAGTAGCAGGTGACATGGGGTCTGGACTACCTAACTCTGCACCAATCTTGGATCTACCATTTACAGATTACAATGCACCTACCTGACTTTATGACAGAGCCAAGTGAGAGGCAGTTACGGCCTCAGTCACTTCTGATGTCCCATAGAAACATTCCATTTCTACCAGAGCCCAGGGGCATGCCAGAAGTTACTATTTGAATTGCTTGGATCTATGGATTTAGTTTTCATCAAATCTGAAGAAGTGTCAGCCATTTTATCTAGTCTGTCTTCCAACTTCCACCTCCATTTTCAGGGACAGAAATTACACACCAGGCCTCCTGGCGTGCCGTAGCTCACTGGTGCTCGTTCTTGTCCAGGTTCCTCTCTTGTTTTAGTTTATTTTTCCATGTCCTACAGTTCAATTTTTATTCTGCTATATCTAATCTGTTAATCCCACCCAGTGATTATTTCATTTCTGACAAGCTTTTCTCCTTTAGAAATTTGATTTGGGTCTTTGTGTCTTTTACCTCTACTCCATATGCCGTGCCTCCCTCCTTCCCCGTTTCCCCTCAGCAGGCCCTCACTGACACCTCTCGTGGGCCAGGCCTTGTTGCTGGGTGCAAGGGAAACAAAACGAGGGGTACAGAATTGTGGAATCTCGTCCAGGAGCGCCCCAGATCACAGGTTGCTGCCTATCATCCATACACAATACCCCCCACCCTTCTGTGGGCAAAGCCCAAGAGGCGTCTGCGGGGCGCGGAGGGGATTCCCGTGCTCTTCCGCAGCCCAGCTCGGGGGCTCAGCTTTCAATGTGTGTAGAGGGAACAGGAAGCTGCCTGTCTTCTGGGCCTTTTGGGAGCTCAGGTGAGACAACAGGAGGGACAGGGTGGAGGAAGCCCAGGCTAGCCTCCAGTTCACTGGCCTGTGGCTTGGGCTGGTCAGTGTCCTGGCCTCGACTCATTCTACCGGTTCTGTGGAGGTGACTAGTGCCTGTTCATGCGGCATCAGCAGGTCAGGCCTTGGACAGGCCAGCCACCCTGCCTGCGAAGCCTTATCAGGGTCCACAGGCCCTGCTCTGGCCCCACCCTGTGCACCAGCCTGGCCCCTAACTCTGCCTGGGGTCCCGCCCGCGGGGCACTGGGCACACAGTCGGCTGCTGGAGCAGGCGAGACGAGCAGGGGGAGGCCGGGCTCGGACAGCCCCCTCTGGCAGAGAACCGCCTGGGACGGGACCGTTTAGTGCGCCCTCCCGCGCATCCCGTGAACCTGGCCCGCGGAGGCCTCCACGAGCGTCGGGCCACTGCCAGAGTGGACCGCGGTTCCGGGTGAGCGGGGACCGCCGGCCCAGCTGGCCCACCTGCTTTAGCGACGAGGCCCGTAGGCGGCGACCCGCCATCCCAACGCTTCCTCCTAGACCCCCAGACCCTCCGCCACCCGAAGGCGGCGTGCAGAGCAGGGGAGGCAGAGTCCCCAAGGCAGCCCCGGCAGCGGTCGACGGCCCCGCCCCCTCATCACCCCCTCGCGCTCGCGGCCCACCAATCGCAGGGCGTGTTGCTTGGCGGCGCGCGCGGGCGGGACCTATGGGATGGCATGTTGTTGCGCTGCAGCGCCTGCAGCCGCACCCAGCTCGGGAAGCTGGGGCAGCGCTGAGGGGGCGGAGGGGCTGGGCGGGCGGAGGTTGCGGGTAGGGTGCGCGCGGCGGGCAGAGGGTGGAGCCGCAGCCGGGGCCGACGGCCGCACTCGGATCTGGAGCCCGCGCGCTGTTCGCGATTCGCCCCTGAGGTGAGGCCCGTACGCAGGCGGCGGCGGAGGGGCCTGGAGCGCGGCGGAGCGGCCCCGGGACTCCCGGCCGGGCTGCGGGGCCTGCGGCGGCGAGCCCAGGCGGCCCTGGAGGCCGGAACGAGGCGGGCGGCGGGCGGGGGCCGCGCTGGGCGGGGCGCAGGGGGTGCGGAGCCCGCCCTGTGAGGGTTCCCCGCCGGGCAGCCTTGGCCGGGTGCGGAGGGGACGACGCGCTGCACACCGTTCGCCACACGGGCTCCTCTGGGAGCGCCTGAGCGGCCCGTGTCGGGGCTGGCGGGTGGGCTTCGAGGCTCCGTGAGGAGGGGGAGCGTGGTGATCAGATCGTGGTGACCCGACGGCGCGAGGGTTTGAGTGCGACGCAGACAGGCGCGGGCGTCCGGATCCTGCCGGTCGGTTGTCGTTTCCCCACCCCCCCACCCCCCCAAACGACAGGTTCTGCCCAAACGGAAGCCAGAGCTGCGTGCCGATGGTAATAAGGTGGTCTGGAACTTTATTAGAGGGGAGCGGAGAGAGTCGTCCCAGCCCCTCCCTCCCTCCGTTAATTTGGGCCGTGTCAGAGCCTCTACCTTTAACAGTTTTATATGTGCTCTTGTAAATCACGGCTCGAGATGTTTTATAGGTGTTTTGTGTTCATTTCATACACACCTAGCTTGAAATAAATATTTTGGTTAATCTGAAATTCCTGGTGGTGTGGCCATCCGACTTTATGCCTAAATGACGTAAAGCAGTTGTCATCTCCCCAAGGACCAAAAGCACAGGTGGTAATTGCATACATTGCCGGTACGTTATTACAGAAAAGGTTTTTTGTGTGTGGACGATTTACTGAAATCTTAGTGAGGGTAGGAAATAGGCTGCGGAAAGGCCCAAATCTGTCGTCTTTGCAAAACATCAATGAAAACGAGCCGGAAACGAGTAAGAGTTAATCAGGCACCGAAGAGGGGAGGGAATAGGCAGAAAGGGTGAATTGTGTGAGGGTGGGATCGTCAAATGGAAGACTTAATTACTTGCGATCCATAAATTATTATTTTGAATCCAAAATCTTAATATACCCCGTTGATTCTGTCTGTGGAAAACTAAAATATTAAAAGTTGTTTTTTAAGGAAGTGAATGGTTTTGGCAGTCAGAACTGCTTTTGGAGTTTTGATGTGGTTTGCAGCAGGACAGCTGGTATGATTTGTTTCCTGCTTTCGGTGGGTTTGGGTTTTAGTCACAGAGGCTCACTGAATGATGTCAATCTAAATTCGACCCAGTCTCCAAAAGTTGAGATAGTTTACTCTCTAAAATATAATTTATGAAGCTGACTGTTTTCTCCTTTAATTCTTTGACGTTATCTGATTCTGATTTTACCATAAAGCTTTTTTAAAAGTAATTAGTTTTTAGTTCTTGAAGGAGTCCTTGTATCGAATCAGAAAGGTAAATACTGAAATACTTTTACGTATGCTTAAAAAACTTAAAAGATATCAAATATCCAGGTGTTAGGATTTACTTGATTGTTCCAGTAACTAAGTTTGACAGTTAATGAAGATGTTTTTATCTGTGAAACAGTTTAAATTGACTTATTTTTTACATGTTTAATTTCTCCTACACGTGTAGAGAATAATAAAGGCCCCTATCTACGCTAATCCAGCTTCAGCAGTTATTACCTTTTAACTAATCTTGTTTTATCTTTGTCCCTGAAACCCACATGCCCTATTTTAACTTAAATATTTTAGTATGTGTATCTACATACATCTCTTAAAAAAGATAAAAACGCAATACGAGTATAGCAAAAAATGAATAGTGTCTTATTACCTTCAAATATGCAACTAGTATCAAAATTTCCATTATTGCTTCATTTTTATTTGACAGTTATTAATCAGGATCCAAATCCTGTTCATAAATTGTGACTTGTTTTAATCTGTAAGTTCTACTCCATCTTTTGTTTTCTCATGTAATTTATTTGTTGATGAAACTTGATTTGTCCTGTGGAGTTAACAGTCACGATTTTATTCTGTATTGTTGTTTACACAGCATTTACTGCAAACGTAGTTAGTTAGATCTAAAGGTGTGATCAGATTCAGGTTTGACTTACTTTTGGCTAAAAGGTTTCATAGGTTAAGCAGATAATGATTAGTAAGGAGTCTTGTTGGCAGCCCTTGATGCTCAATGCCTAGAGCTTATTGGGAAAATGGAGGCTTCTCATCTATCTGATTTTGAACATGGACTTTTGAGCCAGACTGCCTATTAAGTTCTGGCTTCACTGCTTACTGGCTGTGTGACTTTAGGCAAGATACTTTGCCACTCTTCTCTGTTTCCTCATCTGTAAAATGTGATACAATACAATGGTTAAGAAAAATGTAACTCAGTTGTAAGGATTCAATAAGTTAATGTGTGTACAGCACTTAGAACTCAATGCTAACAACTGCAGGGGTCAGAATTTTGAAACTTTGGCAAAGGGTACATTATTCAAAAAATGGAAACTAAAAAAGCTGTTAGGTTTATCAAACATAATCCTTTTTTAGGGGTTCATAGGAGCATGCATCTTATGAAATTACTTTTTTTTTTTTTTAAACTAAACTGTCCTGGTCTTAAAAAAAATCTGAAAATGATACTCCTGAAAGCTTACAATCTCTCTACAACTTTTACTATCAAAGAGTTCTCCTTCAGAGTGTTACATTTTTTGATTTGCCTGAATCCTGACTCTCCTGATTTATACTGGCCCTGCTGCTTTCAACAGCATGCATATAGCAGGATGACTGCAGCAGCAAAGAAAGATGACAGAGGTACAAACGGCCACGAGAACCAGCCAGGTGTTTGAAGTCACAAATGCCCCGTCAGGTGTCACATCTTCATTCTCAGATGTGTGGTTTCTACTGTTGTACCCCTTAGTTTTGTTCAGTAATTGTTTGCTTCTGTTGAGCTGGGATGGAATAGGCATATGAAAAAGTTTTGTGTCTATGGGCACAAAGAAAGGGCTGGATTGTTGGTAAAATCATTACTGAGTGACATCTTATCAACCTTTGTGGCAATGGACTCATTCAGGGAAATGAATCTTGCCCAAGAATCTGTGGTGAATTCCTTGGACTCTGCGGTTAATTCCTTGGAATACTTGGTATTGTTTGTGTTTACCAGCCAGTCTTCTTGCGTGGTTGATGATGGAGCCTCTCCTGTTGGTAGCACTTGGTTTATCATGGTGGTTTGTTGTTTATCTAAATTTGTAGCTTTTAGAATTCTTAGTCTGTCCCGTGTGTTAGGTGAACGGGTATTTAAATATGTGGGAGGTGATTGTCCAAGAACCAGCAAATCTGGACCTATACCATTTATTATGTTGTATAAAATGGCACCGGTTCCAGGCTCTAATACATAGCTCTCCAGTGTTGGGCAGTGAATGTGGAGGCAGTTAACAGTTTCATGAACAGGGTTATGGTAGAAGACAGCCAGGTTACAGGCAGCATCCTTCCGAAGAGAGCAGCTCCTGCTGCATTTCCGGCCAGTGCTTTCAGCGTAATACTTCAGGAACTGGGCTCCCAGCTTCTGAGACTCCTCCAGGTCAGTCGGAAGACCTGGGAAGCGACGGATGCAGCACTCTGTAAAGGATGGTGGGTGAGCAGAGACAGTCTGAGGTCCACCCCAGGCTTAGGAGCAGTGTCACATGTGCTGCCACCAGGGCCACACGCATTTTCCTGGTGTGAAGGCTCAGCAGGAAGTCCGATTCTCAGGCAGAAGCAGGAGCTGACCATCGGGGCTGAGGACAGTTTCTGGAACTTCAGGGCTGTTGCTAAGGGAGAGCGTCTTTGAGACTCCTGGAGGGTCATCTAGAAAAAACGAGGCTGTTCCTTAACTGCATGTTCAGTTCTCCTTTGTTTCTCCCAGTTGACCCCTAGGTGAACACTTTGACTTTCTGGCGTTAATTCTGAACATTTTCCAGGCCATCTTGATACTCTGTACCTTACTTAGCCTCTTGAAGATGTGGATTCTCTCCTCTGCAGACAATCAAACTGTTCCATCTGTTCTTCTGACCTCCACGTCTTTCAGCCACTTTAACTGTGGTTTCTTTTGTGTGATATATAATTCCTTGAAGTTCTCATTTTCCCCTCTGTGCCCCAGCCCCCTGCAGCCGGGGCACTGCGCAGCCCACGGGCTGAGGCCTGCGGCGTCCACCACCGTCCACCCAGCTTTCTTCTGCAAGATGGCTCCCACACGGTGCCCGTGCCCGGCTCTCAGCTGGAGGGGCCACCTACGTGTCGGCCTGGGCGCCCCAGCCCCGGGACATGAGGCTGAATTAGGCCCGGTGCGCAGTGTGTCTCTGCCTGCACCCCGTCCTCCCACGCCGGCCTTTCTCCTGCCTTCCCTTCCCCCGGGTAAGGCGGAGCCGAGGCCTCCGGCCCCACCCCGCCTCCTGGCGCCCGTCCGGAGCCGCGGCACAGCCGGACGGCCACAGCGCGTGGCACCTGTGTGCCAGAAACTCTGCTTGATCTTATGCTTTATCTTTCTTCTTCTAAGAGAAACCTTTTTATTCTAATTGCTTTTTGTTTTATCCCACGTTGTATATGTCTCAGTCACAGAAGAAGAATATGAACACCATCGCCAATTAATAATAACTTTTTCTGCATCCTTATAAGGAATATGTAGTAATTAGAATGAAGAGATTTTTCATGGGGATGGTGTAGCTGTTGGACAGAGGCAGGAGGGAGATGTACTTTTCACTGTAGAACATTACATACCTTTGAGGTTTTAATTCATGTACTTGGATTATGTACTCAGAATAAAATAAGTAATTTTGTAAACAAAACCTCAGTAAATCACCATTATACTTAGAAATAAATCAAATTTCTAACCATGACATCCAAGCTCACTTTCTACCATTCTTCCACTTGCTCATTTATGCCACATTGACAGTGGTCTTCCTGAAACTTGCCTAGCTGTACTGATTTAGGGAATTATTCATTGATCCCTCTGTGTGACCAGCTCCTTCTCATCTTTTAGGCCCCCTCTTAAATGTTTCTGAAAGAGGCTCTCCCAAACTGCACTCTGTTAAGTAGGTTTTCCTTGTTAATAATGCAGGCACTGTGTCCTTTAATTAATTAATTAATTATATTAAGGTATTTTTCATATACACCCTTATGAAGGTTTCACATGAAAAAACAATGTGGTTACTACATTCACCCCTGTTATCGTGTCACCCCCATACCCCAATGCAGTCACTTCCCATCAGTGTAGTAAGATGCCACAGAGTCACTATTTGCCTTCTCTGTGCTACACTGTCTTCCCCTTGAACCCCCCCACACCATGTGTGCCAGTCATAATACCCCTGAATCCCCTTCTCCCTCCCTCCCCACCCGCCCTCGCCCACCCTCCCCTTTGGTAACCGCTAGTCCCCCTTCTTGGAGTCTGTGAGTCTGTTGCTGTTTGGTTCCTTCAGTTATGCTTCGTTGTTATACTCCACAAATGAGGGAAATCATTTGATACTTGTCTTTCTTTGCCTGGCGTATTTCACGGAGCATAATATTCTCCACCTCCATCCATGTTGTAGCAATTTGCAGAATTTGTTTCCCTCTTATGGCTTAGTATTCCATTGTGTATATGTACCACTTCTTTATCCATTCATCTACTGATGGGCGCTTAGGTTGCTTCCATATCTTAGCTATTGTAAATAGTGCTGCAGTAAACATAGGGGTGCGAATGTCTTTTTGAATCTGAGAAATTATATTCTTTGGGTAAATTTCTAGGAGTGGAATTCCCGGGTCAAATGGTATTTCTATTTTTAGTTTTTTGAGGAACCTCTATATTGCTTTCCACAATGGTTGAATTAGCTAACATTCCCACCAGCAGTGTAGGAGGGTTCCCCTTTCTCCACATCCTCGCCAGCATTTGTTGTTCTTAGTCTTTTCTGTACTGGCCATCCTAACTAGTGTGAGGTGAGAGCTCATTGTGGTTTTTATTTGCATTTCTCTGATAATTAGTGATGTGGAGGATCTTTTCATGTGCCTGTTGGCTATCTAAATTTCTTCTCTGGAGAATTGACTGTTCATATCTTCTGCCCATTTTTTAATTGGGTTATTTGCTTTTTGGGTGTTGAGGTGTGTGAGTTCTTTGTATATTTTGGATGTTAACCCCTTGTTGGATATGTCATTTACAAATATATTCTCCCATTCTGTAGGATGCCTTTTTGTCCTGTTGATGGTGTCCTTTCCCATACAGAAACTTTTAAGTTTGTTGTAGTCCCATGTGTTCAATTTTGCTTTTGTTTCCCTTGATCGAGGAGATGCATTAAGAAAAAAGTTGCTCATGTTTAGATTCAGGAGATTTTTGCCTGTATTATCTTCTAAGAGTTTTATGGTTTCATGACTAACGTTCAGGTCTTTGATCCATTTCGAGTTTACTTTTGTGTGTGGGGATAGACAATAATCCAGTTTCATTCTCTTGCATGTACCCGTCTAGTTTTGCCAACACCAGTTGTTGAAGAGGCTGTCATTTCCCCATTGTATGTCCATGGCTCCTTTTTCGTGTATTAATTGACCATATATGCTTGGGTTTATATCTGGGCTCTCTACTCTGTTCCATTGGTCTGTGGGTCTGTCCTTGTGCCAGTACCAAATTGTCTTGATTACTGTGCCTTTGTAGTAGAGCTTGAAGTCAGGGAGCGTAATCCACCCAGCTTTATTCTTCCTTTTCAGGGTTGCTTGGCTGTTCGGGGTCGTTTGTGGTTCCATAGGAATTTTAGAATTATTTGTTCCAGTTCATTGAAGAATGCTGCAAATATTTTGATAGGGATTGCATTGAATCTCTAGATGGCTTTATGCAGGATGGCCATTTTGACAATATTAATTCTTCCTATCCATGAGCATGGGATGTATTTCCATCTGTTAGTGTCCCCTTTAATTTCTCTTAAGAGTGTCTTGTAGTTTTCAAGGTATAGGTCTTTCACTTCTTTGGTTAGGTTTATTCCTAGGTATTTTATTCTTTTTGATGCAATTGTGAATGGAATTGTTTTCCTGATCTCTCCTTCTGCTAGTTCATCATTAGTGTATAGGAATGCAACAGATTTCTGTGTATTAATTTTGTATCCTGAAACTTTGCTCAATTCAGATATTAGGGATTCATATGGGACTTGTCCCAGGCCTGGAAGACCCTTCCCTCTGGAGCTACAAGTAGTAACTGGTGAATTGGGATCAGAAAGCCAAGTGGTCTGACTGTTGGGGTCTAAACTCTAGATATGACTTAGCACATTTATTAATCAGCATTATGAAGGCTAATGGGATTTTGATCAAGACTCTAGCCAGATTCTTTCTGTACCAATTTTATCAGGTAGATTTTGGAAGTATAAACAGGATAGAGTTCAGTACAGTTCACTTGAATTTGTTTAAACAGAGGGTTGGTCAGCTTATCTTCAGTTGTCTTTCCCAGGGTGGTTTTTGAACCACACCCAAGTTAGTTTTAGTAAGCACACTGGGATGTCAGTCTAGGGATTGAGTTAAAGTGAGAAATCTCACTTACTGATTAGTGCTTTAGTGCTATATGTGCTGATACAGTAGGACACAGTGATTTACTTAAAATACCAAAAGGTCAACTAAGATGTTTATAATATGTTATTTTTAATTAAAAGAATGTAACTTTTAGTTGGTTAAACGTAATATTCTTGAAGTCTGAAATAAACCATTTTTAGAATGCTAAAATATTCTCATCAATATGAGGTAATTAAAATACTTCCTACTTATAGGGTATCCTCTAGTGCAGGAAATTGTGCTAGATATTTTCCATTTATTCTAATTGTCCCAACAGCCTTGGAATATAGGACTTGAATGTATTTTACTACAAATGAGGAGATTGAGGTGCAAAGATAGTAAGCCTTCCTAAGATCACATCGTGCAGATTTTGAGGCAGTAGTGGGGTCCTGCTGGCACTGTGGAAACCTGTGTCAGTGGGTCCTGGCGATGAGTGAAGAAACCCTCCTCAATGTCACTGGGGAGAAGGGATTATGGACAATGAGATAACAGGAGAACATATTCATCAATTCCAGATAGATTAAGGAGAAAGGTTTAAAATTATAGAGACTGTTGAGAAAAAGCAAAAGAAAATCTTTATCAGAGATAATACCTTAAAACTTTCTTGGAACGTATTATTAGATGTGAACCTGAGAAAGAATGATAACTTTCTCTTTAAAAGAATAACTTAAAGGAAAAGTTTATAGACTTAAATATGCAAAATATTAAAATATTTGCTCATTGAAAAATAAAATTATAGGCAATAATAGTCTTGTAATGTCAAATATGACAAAAGATCAATAGGTATACTATTCAGATTTTTAGAAATACATATCAAAATTTCAGTGGATAAATAGGTGGACAAATAAATTAGTAGACCCTATGAAAAATTTCAGATGTAAATACATGAAAACATTCATTCTTATGTACTAATCAGAGAAATGCCAAATAAAACAGCTGCTTCTGATCCACCAAAGCAGGAAAATGGTAGTAGTACCTCTGCTTCCTTTTTAGAGTATGTGAGCCAGAGGAAGTGAAAATTTATATTTAATCCTGACCTAGTTGGGAGGTTTCCTTCACTGTACATCTTCCTTTCCAGTATCAGGCTTACCCTTCAAGCAGTTATTTTAGATAACTATTCCACTATTTTGCTCAGCAACTGCTTTTACTGCTAGGCAACACCCTGGCAACTAGGACTTTCGAAAGGGGTCACATTTTCCGGGATGTTTATTTTATTTGCAATGTTACAGTTGTAAGAAACACTCACTGGTACAAACTCAGTAAGTGGACATGGAGACAAAGAGAACAGCGGAGTGAGGCTTTAATGATGGTCTTGCAAGAACAGGTGTCTGGTGAGCAGGTATGCCTGAGGCCGCTGGCGCCAAGTAATTTTTTCCCCAGTACATGAGTCCCTCCTCTGGTTCCTCATTGGCCGAGTACTGCAGGGTCCACATTCTTTTCCAGATGTTGCCTAAGCCAATTATATCCATAT